CCTGCTATGTTTCACAGCTGCAAGACTGGGTCCCGTTATTTGCCCTGGCCCTGGCCCTGAAAGACATACACAACTTGTGAAACAATAATGAACCTTTACATTTTACAGTGACCATTCAACAGAGAAAGCAGAGAGGGCAAAGACTCTGTGTCACTCCCCAGAGAAGAGTGGGGCCAGAACTGAGGACAGCCTGCCTCTTGCATTGGGTAGGAGCTGCAAGCCCTCAACTTCTGTTCCATACAGGACTCTGCCCCAGTCACCCTTAGCAGCCTTGAACGGTTACCTCGCTGGCCTGACCTTTGGACAAATGTGTGCTCCAACTTAAAATAAGGCTGCTCAAGAGGCTGTGATGGTTTGGCATCATTCAGCTTTGATAAGACACTGAGCCAAGGTTTAGCCAGTGTTAGCCCTACTCTGGGGACGCGGGTGGCGCTGTGGGTAAAAGCCTCAGCGCCTAGGGCTTGCCGATTGAAAGGTCGGCAGTTCGAATCCCCGCGGCGGGGTGCGCTCCCGTCGTTCGGTCCCAGCGCCTGCCAACCTAGCAGTTCGAAAGCACCCCCGGGTGCAAGTAGATAAATAGGGACCGCTTACTAGCGGGAAGGTAAACGGCGTTTCCGTGTGCGGCTCTGGCTCGCCAGAGCAGCGATGTCACGCTGGCCACGTGACCCGGAAGTGTCTCCGGACAGCCCTGACCCCGGCCTCTTGAGTGAGATGGGCGCACAACCCTAGAGTCTGTCAAGACTGGCCTGTACGGGCAGGGGTACCTTTACCTTTACTAGCCCTACTCTGAGTAGACCCATTATTTGCCTTGGCCCTGGCCCTTAAAGACATACACAACTTGTGAAGCAATAATGAACCTTCACATTTTAAAGTGACCATTCAACACCCTTTTCCCCAGAGTGCACAGCTGGGCTTGCTTCCTCGAGTCGCCTGGGCCTTTGCAGCAGCCAGTGGGCAGCCGCTCTCACCTTTGACCCCAGGCTGGCCTTTGCAGCAGGTGACTTGGTCTGGTGACTCTTGGGCGACAACCAGCTTTGAGAGGATTTCGGGTGGGGTGAACTTCCTCCCTGGGTCTCTCCCATCTCCTGACTTCCCCTTCACATTCTTCTCCCCCCAAGTGACGTCCTGCCCAGCCCCACTCGCTGACAAACGGTGGAGGGGTGTGGGTCAGGCTGTTCCCTGCCAGTAGGTTTCCGAGGAAATGGCTCCCGCGAAGGGGTCCTGGGGGGTCCCCGACAGGGTGGTGTTGGGGGGAAGTGTGTGGCTTGGCCTCCCTGCCCAGGGGGGGAAAGGGCGAGGGCTCAGCTGCCCAGAGTGTGGAGGGGGCAACCCCCCAGGGACCGCCCATGGCTGGCTTCCAAGGCACATGCAGAGGTGAGCTGGGTTATGTTCCCGGTCTGAGTGCTCAGCCCAGGGGGAGAGGACATAACTTCAGTGTCGCCAAAGGGGCCTGTCTAGGCCTAGGAAGGACCTAGGAACCCAGATAGACTGCCTCTGGCCCTGGAGGATCCTTGAGAACCTAAGGAGAGCATGCTGGATCAGGCCAAGGGGACCAGCCATCCTTCCTCACAGCGGCCAAGCAGACCCCCCAAAGGATTCGAGCACAAGAGCCACTCTCTCCACCTGCAGTTCCAGCAAGAGCAGCAGCCTCCTCCTGCTCTTGTTCTCTGACGTTCAAAGATAGACTGGCTCTGCCCATGGAGGCTCCATTTAGCCTACCTAACATTTAGCACAATCCCACCTGCACCCCTACTCAGAAGTAAGCCCCCTCCCAAACTCACTTCTTTTCCTAGGTGGGCGGGAAGTGTTTTGTCGGCTCCTCTTTTTTGCGTTTGTGATTCCTGAGTAGCAGGGGGTTGGGCTGGATGTCCCCTGGGGGTCCCTTCAAACTCTACAGCTCTGTGATTTATCTTAAATTAAAGCGGGGTGGGTGGGACTCCAAATCCACAGTTTTGCAATAGCTTTTGTTAGGAGTACGAACCCCAAATGTCACAAATGTTCTGAGAAGTTTTTGGCAGGTTGAGATCTGTTTTATAAATAGCCAGGAATTTGGCAGGACAGATTCTTCAAACTGCGTATAAAAACAGTTTTGAACTTTTAAGGGAAAACAGGACCAGCTGATTAGAAAAAACACAAGGTGGATCCAATAAATGGAGTCGTTTGTTTTTTATTTTAATTATTTTTTTAAAAAAGAAGCAATGAACGTGGAAAGGAAAAAGGAAAATCAAGTGCTGCCTATTATAGTGGATGGAATATTCTGCTTAATGGGAACTTCTTGATCCTATTTATAGAATGCATTGGGCTTTGGAGAAATGCAAGGCAAATTTTGAATCACTGTTCAAGCAGTGGGGGGTGTGTTAATTTATATTTGTGTTTTAATCAGTATTACTTTTGCAATACAAGGGAGTGGATAAAGAAATGAAGCTGTGAGGGTTGTGAGCCAAGATGCAGAACAAAAGTTTTCTCTCTTCCAGGAACACGAGGAGTTTTGGGGAAAATTTGGAGCAGCTGAGCTGGGAGGAAGACGGGGAATTTTCCCTCTGCATTCCTGGAATAATTCTAATAGTTTAAAGGATGCTTGTCTCTCTCCCCTTCCAATGCTGTCTGTGTTGAGGTTTTGATCTGGAAACATCAGGGGAAAGCCAGCATGTTTTGGCCCCAATAAGGCAAGGCATCGCCAGGCAGACCTGCCCTGAATCTTTGCAGAACTGCTGCCAGCCTGTGCAGGCAGTGCTGAGCTAAGTCAGGGCTCCCTGGGGGCAGTGGGATTCCCTAGCAGGAGCGCCAAGTGGCGAGGGGGAAGCAGAGGGGCAAATGGCTCTCAGACTTCGGAAAGCCTGGACCTTGCTCCTCCATTTTCATGGCATTGGGTGGGACCCCCAAGGGCCATCCAGCCTAACCCACAACTAAAGAACCCCATATTTTGTCACATTAATTAAATAGTTCTAATTGGATGTATGAATAAATGTGCCATTTTGCATTTCGTGGCGTTCTCTTCCTTAGCAAGGGTGCAGAGGACGACCTTGATGACCAAGGGTCTGGAAATCAAGCCTGGTAAGGAACGGTTGCAGGAGCTGGGTTCTGAGAGGAGAGTCATCTTCCAGTATCTCAAGGAACAAGGTTGTTTCCTCCTGCTCTGGAGGGCAGGACTCGAACCCATGGCTTCAAGTGACAAGAAAGGAGATTCTGACTCAACATCAGGAAGAACTTTCTGAAAGTAGGAGCTATTCAAGAGTGGAACAGTCTCCCTCGGGAGGTTCAGGACTCTCCTTCCGTGGAGGTTTTTAAGCAGAGGTTGGAGGCTGTCCAGGGTGCTTTGTTGAACGGCGGCAGCAGCAGCGGTGGGCGGGGGGTGAGCTGACCCTTGGGGCTTCCCTCCAACTCTACCATTCCAAGACTTTTGCTCCCAGGAGCTCAAAGTGGTGCACACAGGTCTCCCGCTCTTCATTTGAACCCTACAACAACGCTGTGAGGTAGGGCAGCCTGAGAAACAGCGACTGGCCCCAAAGACATGCAGTGGGCTTTGTGGCTGAGCGGTGGGATTCAAACCCTTGTCATCTTCCCCAGGCCTCCTTTAATCCTCACAACAACAGCCCTGCAAAGTAGGCCAGGCTGAGAGAGGGGCTCTAATTCCACCGTCCTTCATGGATTCGAACCCAGGTCCCTCAGGGCCTGACACTCTCCCCCACTGCACTGCAGGACTCTGCTCCTCTCCCTGCGTGGAATTAGGCTGGGGGCATATGCAAGGGGGGGGCTGCCTTAGAGAGCAGAGGCCTCATCCTGCCTGCGTTGCCTTGGGCGCCTGCCTTCTGCCGCCTCCCAGAGGGAGGAGCTGCTGGAGAAACCCAGTTCAGAGAGGCTCCTATAAATAGCCGGAGCTATTTCTGGCTCTTCTGGAGCTATAATTAACTTGCCTCCGCCGTCTGCCTGGCACCACAGCCAGCCGGGGGGGGGGGGGAGAAGAGCGGGCCAGAGCCAGCGGCAGCCGCGCAGGGCTGGCGTTGCAAGGGGTAAGGGGAGCCTGCCAGCAGGGCCTCAGCTGACCCCGGGAGAGCGGGCAGCAGAATTGCAGGACCCTCGCCCAAGGATCTTAGACCCATAGGGATTTGGGAGGGACCCAAGGGGTCATCCAGCCCAACCCACTGCGGTGACAGAGTTGGTGGTGGCAAGAAGTGGATTTCTTGGGGTGGAAAAGAGGGGCCTCCTCCTTCCGCAGCAACTTCCTGCAGACCCTAAAAGGGGGAGGGCTTTTTCAATCCGGGGGGCGTCTGCCAGTCTGGGCAAAGGGGGACGGAGCGGCTCATGTGAGATGATAACTTTGTGCAGTTGGGTGTCTCCTCCCCCCGCGTTCTTCTCTGTCCTTCTCCCAGGGGCACAAAGAGGCACAAACAGAGTTCAGGGGCGCATCTTCAGCCGGGCAAAGACCCCCAAGGAGGGCTTTAGGGTGCGGTTTGGGCAAATTCACAGAGGAGGAGGAGGAGGAGGTGGGTGCTCTCTTCAGGTTGCAAACCGGGGCCCCTCTGACCCCCTCAAGTGGTTCCCTCTGGCCTAAAGCAGAGCCAGGACTCCCCACCCTGGAAAACAAGCCCTCCCCAACGCTCTCCACAAAACCCCCATTTTACACAACCAGTTTGTTCCCCTAGGGGCCAAGGTTCAGGGTGGTCCTCACCCGGAGTTTCCGCTCCCCCTTCCCGGTTTTGCACCCTTTGCTAGATAGTGCTGCACATCAGAAACACCCGCAAGGTGGGGGTGTGGAAATGCAGCAAGGAGCCAATGGAAAGCAGGATGGAGCCTTTTTAAAGAGGAGCAGATGTCTTCTTGAGTTTTTTCTCCCAACTCTGGATTCAGCACGGATTTCCCCAGGGGAATAGAGGATGCACAGAGGATGGGGAGAGGGGAGGTGTGGACAGGCCCCCAAACTGTGCAATTCCCTAAATAGAAGTTTTCAGAGTTTCAGAGTCCCCCCCCCCCCCCGTTGGAATAAGGGCAGAGACGAGATGCTCCAGCAAAAGTGAGTTTTTAATTCGTTGTGTGATCAATATCCTTATTGTTTTAAACAGCAATTCCACAAAATATTAAACACTGTGCGAGGAAAGAAACTGGTCTATGGCACACGGGAAGAAAAGAACGATGAAGGGCTTGGCAAAAAGAGAAAGGAAACCAAGGAGGAGAGAGATGATCAAGCCTACGTTATGGACACGGGTTTTCACTTCCCTAAAAATACAATCTTTACAAATCTCGATTTGCTTTTGGCAACAATATCAGGATTTGGCAAATAAGAACAAGGAATTGGAGAAAGAATTCAAAAGCACAAAACACCTGTGTGGCAGGCAATCTTTTTTCTTCTCAAAAAAGAAAAACCACCTCTGAAATCAATGCATTTTAAGCTTGTTAAATTAAAAAGAGAACCTCGGAAAGTACTTATTTCATCAGTTTGGCAAAAAGAGAGAAGGGGCAAATTGGCACCTTTGGAGAGTCAGGGGGACGTAAGGCCTGGATCTCCGGAGAAGAGATGTGGGTTTTTAGGGGGGGTCCCCCTGCTTCGGAGTGGGGTGCTGGGACAGGACAGCCGTGCCCCCTCCCCCTTCAACTGGAGCAGCGCAGAAGGAAGAGCTTGCAAGCGAGGGGCAGGGAGGGGGTTGCCGAGGAGGAGGCGGCCCTGGGGCATCTCTCTCTTGCCCCCCAGCCCAGCTGCCCAAACCCCCTCTTTGGTGCAGCAATGGCCCTGGGCAAGCAGGTGGAGAGGGGCAGGGAGCAGACATTCTCTGGCTGGCAAGCAAGGGGTTAAAGTGCCCCCCAGGGGAGAGGAGGGTTGGCGCACCTGCCATGGCTTTTTCTGGGGCTCCCCTCTCTTGCTCCCTCCCAGTTTTGGGCAAGGGCTGGGAAGGGAGGGCCGGTGCTCCCCTAGGACTGTGCGGACCCCCTAGGAGGAGCAAGCCCCCCCTCGCCAAAGAGATGCAGACAGCTACAAGCAGCAGCGCCCGTCTGCACTGGGATGCAGCCAGGAAAAAGCAACCACGAGTCACAGCCACCCACAAGAAGATTTCTTTTACTATTAAAGGGGGGTGTCCTTCTGGACTCCCATTGCCTCCCCCCAAACGCAGAGGGCTCCCCCTCCCCACAGAGGTCAGAAGTGGGGAGCCCCAACCCCCCTGCCTCCTCCATGGGAAGCAGCTCCTCCTAGGGACCCTGGCAGGATGGGGCCATTGGATATGGCAGGGGTGCCCCCTCGCCCTTGAGCCACCATAGCTGTGGCACAGCCTGCCCCTCACTCTGTAGGTGAACCACACCCCTCCCTCACTCCCCATCCTGCTCTCAGGGTCTGGCCCCCCAGGACCCCTCCTGCTCCAACCATGTGGGTATGTGGGGGAGCTCCCACTCTGCCCTAGGCCTTGATCCAGGTTTGTGATGCTGGTTGGCTGTGGGGTGGGCAGAGAGAGGCAGCAAAGAGAAGGTGATTTTTTTTGGGGGGGCTGCAGGACCTCACCAGGAGGAAGGCCACTTGAGGGTGGAGCCAGAGAAAAGAACAAGACTCCCCCAGGCCCAAAGGACAGCAGAAAGGGGCCACATTTGCTGCTTTTCTGGTGTGCATGCGCCTATGTCTTGCTCTGGGGACCGCCCCCCCAAAAAGGTCCAGAGAGGGTCCGGGCTTGAGAGCGCTGGGGTAGAAAGCGAAGGGGAAATGGCTGGGTTCAACTCTCAGGGGTCAGCAGCCCAGCAGGAGGAGGAAGAAATGCCCAGGGAAGGCTGAAAAAATCTGGGGGTGGGGGGGTGCTTGAGTCACAGCAAGACCACCCCCCTGGCGAGGAAGGGAAGGAAGGAATGGGACAGAGCAGCAGGGGCACCCCTTTGGATCCCCCCCAATCTGGCTCAATGTGTGACAAGGTGGAGAACGCAGACGCCACAGGGTTGGGGGGGCTTTGGGGGGTGTCCCTTTCCGCCGAGCCTCCTTCTGCGGGAGACACTCTGCAGAGGACACACCAACGCCACGGTCATGGGGGGGGGCGTGTCAACCCCACTCCCCAAAAACCCCAGGAGGGAAAGGAGCAAAGCAGAGCTCCTTCTGCCCCCTCCCTTCCACTGTGGCCCCTCCATTTTTCTTTTCCAAGGACAGAAGGGACCGACTGCCAAATGAGGCCTCCTTCCCTTGGGGGCATCCGAGAGCAAACCTGCTGGCTTGGGTGGACCCCCCCCCTTTTGGCCTGACACAGCTGTAGGGATGCCTCTGGGGCCTGGATGCCAGGGCAGAGCGAGGGGCAAGGGGCTTTGGGACGGGGCTTTTCCAATCTCTCTCTCCCCCTCCCTCCTTTCCTTCAGGAACAGTTGCCTGGGCTGTGGGGTCCCATGGCCTGCCCCCCATCCCCATGAGACAGGCCACCTTCGGCCTCTTCCTGCAGGGCTGTCCTCCGCAGAGTCCCCTCCGCTCTTCCCCCAAGGAGAGAACCTCCTTTCTCCCTTGCAAGGTGGGGGGCAGGAAGATGCCCACTTTCTGCTCCCCCCACATCGAGGAAGGAGCCTTTCGCTCTCTCCTTCGAGGGAGTTGTTTATGGGGGACTCATGCAGGGAGACGCAGCCCTAGCTGGGCGAGGGGCTCAGGTTAGGAGGGGTGCACAGGAGGGGATCTGCTCCCCAAGGAAGGGAGACTCTCCTCCTCCGTGGGGACAGGAAGGCACCCCCTGGCCCCCCACCCAGCCCTGTCAGGGATTCTGCAGGGGGTCCGTGGCACTTCCAAGGCAGGAGCCGCCTTGGGGAATGGCGGGGGCCAGGTCATGGTTCCTGCCTTCTCCCCACTGCTCCTGTGAGGCTTTTGAACCAAGGACTGCAGGGTGGGTCATTTGCAAAGGGGCGCAGTGCGCAGACGCACGTGCAGAGAGCCCATCTCCCACAGAGCCACACCTCTGGTCTCACCTGCCAAGGGCCAAAGTGGGGAACTTTGGCGTCCAGGCTGACCCCGGCCCACCGGAGGGACATCAGGGTGGTTTCCAAAAGGGCATGCCTGCCTCCCCCAAGCACCCCCTGTGCTCCTCCACCTGGCCACCTTTGTTCCCGGGATTGGGCTCCCCCTGGGGGTCAGAATCGGACCTGGGCTTGGTGCAGTCTGCACCCTGATGGAGCCCCTCTCTGCCCCTGGCACGCCTCGGGTGTCCAATGCCGCCGAGAGACAGACCAGGCAGGAGCAGGCTATAGGATGGTGCAGGGCTTCTTATCCTTGAAGGGGTTCTCAGAGGCTGGGACGCCCACCAGCAGAGGGTCGTTCCTGGCCTGCTGCTCGCAGTAATTCATGAGCTCCGAGGAGGCTTTGGAGACCTGAGTGGGGAAGAAGGAGAGAGAGGAATGAGAGCAGCAGCAGTAGCAGCAGGATCAGGCCCCCCTCTCAGCCTGTGCAGATGTGCCAGGGGAAGTCCGCAGGTGGGACTCTTGCGCAAGAGAGACTGCCTGCCTGCCGGCCACGGAAAAGCGTTGCTGCCTCTGACTTTGGAGGCAGAGCCCCCCCCCCGCTTGTAGGAAAGGGGCTGGTGATGGGGGGGGGAAAGGGTGCTTCAGATTACTGAAATACGAAGCACCTCACCATCATGGGCATAGCTGGGGGGGGGGCAGGTGCCCACCCAGTCAAGGAAATAAAGAAAAATACTTAACTAAAAGTCGATATTGTGGGAATATTTTGAGAGTTTTTTCTGAGCACTTGTGGTCAAAAGGAAGTAATTTGAAGCAACTGTTGTTGAGACATTTCGTTCCGAATCTGCTAGATGGAGCACAGGATGGGGATGGGGTGTCCCGTGCCCCTGGAACATAAGTCCTGGCCACGCCCATGCCCCCCATTTATTTAAGGCAGGAACCGCGTCTGGACTAATCTCAGGAGAACCATGAGACAAGGATGGAAACACTGAAGGACAAGACGGGAGCTGTGTTTCAGCTCCATGCTTAGCAGGGGTCCCTCCATGCCCCCCGCCCCCCCCTCTTCCTGTCCTCCTCGTCTTCCTTTGGAGACCTTGGAAGGTGCAGCAATGGGGTTTGGGAGCCAGAGTTTTATTTCTGTCCCAAGGTCTCTTCTGGGAGCCAGACCCCAAGAGAGGCTCCCCGAGACCCCGGACAAGAGGCGTGGGCAGATACACTCAGCCCCCCATTGCCAGAGTGATTGGCCAGAGAAGCTGTGGGGGGGGCTCTTTGCTCTTGCATTAGGAGTGGGGTGGGTAGGTAGTCTGGACAGCCCAGGACGCCCCTGCCCCCGGGAGAGCTTTGCAGGACCCTGTGGGGTGTGCTGGGGGGGGCCCTCCTCTTTCCTGGCGCACCTTTATCCTCTCGATCCCGGCCTCGATCCGCAGCTGCTCCACCAGCTTCCGTGCCTGGGCGATGTTGTTAGTGGTCGACATGGTCTGCCATGGGCTCTGCGTCAGCCCCTGAAATGCTGCGAGGGGGAGAGGAGAGGAAGAGGATGTGGGGCTTCCTTCTTTCCTGGAGTGACCCACTCCCCTCCTGCTGCTGCTGCCTCTCAGGGCGCCCAGGTGAGCAAGAGCAGCTCAGGCATCTCCTGCTAATGTGTCTTTAAACTTAAATATTTACATTCCCTTTCTTAAAATACAGGCTATCAATCTGAAACAAATCTAGAAGGCACAATTTGCTTCAAAGGAGAATGCTATGCTATGTTTGTCATTTCTTAATCTTCCGACATGCTCTGCATTTTGTATACTTGTACTTCTCATGCTCTGTGTTTCTGTGTTTTGGATGTTTGCTATAAGCTGTTTTGAGCACAGCTCATTGTGGGAAAATGGCATAGAATTGTAGGGTTGGAAGGGACCCCAGGGGTCATCTAGCCCAACCCTCTGCAGCGCAGGAATCTTTTCACCCAATGTGGCCTTGAACCCACAACCCTGAGATTAAGGGTCTCCTGCCCCAGCATGTAAGTGAACTCACTCAATCAATCAGTCAGTCAGTCAATCAATCAATCAATCAATCAATCAATCAATCAATCGGAGGGAGGCCTCTTCCCTTTCCCCCTTTTTACGATAACATTATTGCCAACCCCACCCCTCCCTGAAGTACAGAGACAGTGCTAAGGAGCAGTCCATGGGAACCGAGACTCAAAGCGGTTCCGCCCAGCAGGAATAAATCAAGGGAAAGGGTGGCTCTGCAGTGTCCCAGGAGAAAGCCGTGTTTGAGAAGCTTGCACAGAGTCAAGCTGCACAGAAAGCAATGCTGCTTTTCCCCCAGGGTGTAAGAATTCTGCCCCAGACCTGCGACACCCCAGCCCCTGCTTGGATTCAGATTGCTCTCTCATTTCTGTTTCCGGGTTCCTGCGCCTTGAACAGCTTTCTGCACTGAGGGGATTTCAGCAGGGTATAAGCTCTATGGGAGAATTATGTTTTTAAAAAATATTTTTATTGAATGATTTTATGTTACAAAAAACAATACAGCCATACCACCATTAAATATAATTAAGAAATAAAAATTACATGCATCGATATTTAGTTTGTTATTTGTTATTTACTGTCTTATTGCACCCAACAACACACATATGTGCAGAGACCCACACACCCATACCCGCCCACACAAAATGATAATAATGAAAGTAAATATTTTTCCGCTTTTATCTTCCAAAATATTTTCTTCAACTTTGACTTCCTGTCAAGTCTCTTTGCATATGTTTTATCTTACATTTGAATGTACACAAAACAATAAACCTTTTAATATAATTTTTCTAATACATTCTGAGCTCTATGGGAGAAATTGGCTACCCAGTGCCTTAGCTAGGGGTGGGCCAGGGGGCTAGCTGGGGTTTTTGCCTCCAGTGGGGCACCATTGAGGTGCATGTACACAAATGTGCCAAACTGGGTCTTTGACCCAGGTGAAATAAAGTCTAGGTTCTTTAACCAGGCCTTTGGCTGACTGACATTCAATGAACTTTTAAAATGTGTTGCCGGGGGGGGGGGGGAGATTGGGTTGTTTTTGTTTTATGCAGACAGGTTCCAGGACAATTGGACGGTGCCTTGAAGGGCTGCACAGAGACGAGGTGGAAAAGGGCAGAAAAAGCTTCTGGCTTCTCCCCCAAAACAGGAGACCCCCCCTGCCCTGTTCAATCCCCTGTAGCAGAGCCTCCCTCCTGGGCTCCCTGGTGCAAGGGGGGTCAGGATCGGGGCCACAGGGTTTGCAAGGGAGGAGTCCACCTGCAGCCCAGGTGTGACTCATCTGCAGCCCAGGCTCCCCCCTGCATAAAAGGGGCTTAGCAAGGGGCTTAGCTGAAAGAAGCTTTCAGGAGGGAAGGGGCGGAAGAGTTGGGCAGCTGCTTGCATTGGAGGCGGCGTCAGCAGGTAGGTGCCCCAAGAGAGCCGAGTTCCTCCAGTTCAGACTGGGAGTGCTGGTTTTGGAGCTTTCTCCAGCGAAACCTGGAGGCTTCTCTCCCGGGAGGAGGGAGCACGTGGGGCGTGAAGGAGAGGATCTCTTAAGGCACCCAGAGAGAAAGCAGGGGGTTCTCAGCCCCCTGCCCTCCCAGGAGTCCTTGGAGGTGTTATTCCAAAGATGGTGTGTGGCAGTTTTGGAAGATTTTAGGGACTGCCCCGCCCCTTAGCCAAAGACCACCTAAAAGCACCACACCGAATTCTGAATCTGCAGCAGAAATCTGAGAGTGGCTTGTAAGGGTTTGTCAGAAGACCTGATAATGCTGGCAGATTGCCTTATCCTGGCCAGTCGGGGACATTTTTGAAATGGTTTCTGTAACCTGCCCTATTCACACACAAAATGTGCTCTTTTGACTGGATTGGAAGGATTTGTAAGTGAAAAGAACCTTTGGGAGAGGTGTTTCCAAGCTACTCTCTTTTGCAGAGAACAAATTTGGGGTCCTTAAGTGTGAAGATGACTTCTGGATTGCTCCCCTGTTCTATTTTAGAAATAAGAATAATTTTTTTATTATTTACAGTCCGCCCACCTGACTTGGTTATACTTATGTGTGTTTTACCTTGTGTACTTACAAACATTCGTTTTATTTCTGGCACCTTAGAATTCTTAAAACAGATGGAAGGCTTACATGTGATACGGAAGGAGGAGGGGGGGTACCCATCTTTCCCCCCACCGCTTCCTGAAGGGGCCCGAGGCGATGACCTCGACAGTGCCCAACTCTGCCTAGAACCCTCAGCCCCCACACCGTTACACAAGCACCACACTATACCCCTGCCTTATGAATAAAAGGCTCTCTTTCCTATCTTTATACGGGCGAAATAAGCCCCATCTTTCTTATGCCTTCCTCTCGCCCTATTTCTAACGTGAGTAGACCGTATCATACTGTATCCCCATTCACTATACTGGGCCGCACTTTAGCCGATCACAGCCATGCATTTGCCCTGCAGAAGCTAGCTCAGGGAGCTACTGCACGCCTCATTTCACTCCTGACGGCCCCCCACTGCGAGAACAATGGATCCGAAACCAAGGACCTCGTAAAACTGTCAAATCTTGCTACAATCTTGCTACAATGTATCCATTCTTGTTACAATGTATCCATTCTGTTTCCGCTTTTGATCAACAATACGGAATGGGTTGGAAAGCGTTGAAACCTTTGGAAATTGATATAAAATCAACCGTAACTCCGATTTCTTCGCTCTTGGTGTCATTCAACTCAGTTCCCTTTGGACTCCATGATGCTACCCCTACTTCCATAATCCCCGAAACGGCAGGTCACGTACACAGGAACTTCTTAATCCTGTCAGATCGTTTCGCCTAACCCTTCCTCCGGGCAATATTAGGTGGCAGACGATGCATATCTCTGGCCCATTGTCTTGCCACCACCGGTACTCAATAAATGTTTATCTATGTATATCTCTCGCAGGGCTCTTGCACTCGTGGCCCTGGGAGAACAGGAGGCTGTACTAGATGGGCTCTCTTTATGTTCCTATGCTGGAAAATGTGTGGTCTTTACTTCCTTTCTGGAACAAGAAATCCTGCACTGCTTTTGTACAGTGGAGGCAGTCCACCTCCACAACCCGATATTGTGTGAGGATGGGAGGGGGCAGGTCTGATCCAGCAGCCAGCTTCTTCAGAGGCCCTCATGGAGCCTCCAGGTCCAGAGGCAGTCTATCAGGGTCCTGAGGGGCATTTGTCTGCCGTGAGGACAGGAGGCTGGGCTGGACTTTGGGCCTGGTCTTGCAGCTGCAGGGCTCTTTTTCCAGGTCGTCCCTGAAGACGGCTGGGAACGCGGCGCCTGGCTGGTGGGTCGCAATCCTGCTTCAGGGCGCCTGAACTGGGTCAGCAGGTGGGTCTCCTGCCCTGAGGAGAGTCCAAAAGCAGCAGCAGCAGCAGCAGCCGTGTTTCTGGGAGGAGCAAGGGCGGCAAACCAGGTCCAAGCCTGGCTCTCCTTCTGGATGGCCATCTCTCTCTCTCTCTCTCTCTCTCTCTCTCTCTCTCTCTCTCCTTGGCTCGGCCAGCCTTTCCGCTCTGGCCACAGACTCCTTGCTTAAGAGGCTGGGCCCCCACCCTGGGCTCCCCCTGCTCAGCTGGGACTTCTGGGGTGTTTTTGCTCCCTCTCCAGCAATCGCAGAAGGGGAGGAGGAGGAGGAGGAGGCGGGTCCCAGCACAAGCACCAAGGCGAAAGCTAGCAAGGTACGGTAAGTCCTGGGTGTCATTATTGTTGTTGTTGTTGATTAGTAGTGCACCACCCTTCACCTGCAGAACTCAGGGCGGTTTGTCTTCTTTGCTGGGGGCTACCGCCCCACAGTGCTGAGCTCTGGCCTCTTCTTGCCACCAGCCAACCAGGCAGTGGGGCAGAAGGGGCCGGAGTGGGGGTCACTAATCCATCTGAGAACGAGGAAGCCCTTTCTGTCTGGAATGGGTCCCTGAGAAGATGGGGGCTCTCCTTCCTTGGAGGTTTCTAAGCAGAGCTTGGGCGGGCATCTGTCAGGGATGCTTTATCTGAGAGTCCTGCATTGCAGGGGGCTGGGCTGGATGACCTCTGGGGACCCCTCCCAACTCTGGTTCTCTAACAGCTGGAGCTCAAAGCCTTAACTCTCTGCCTCCGCCCCTCCAAGCTGAACCTCTCTCTGCAAGCTCCTTCACACTTTCCTCCAGGGGCTTCCTCTGTCTCCCCTCTTATCTCTGATGGTTTTTCTTTGCCCTCCTCTGAATTTCTTCCAAAGAGCAGCATCCAGAACTGGCCTCAGGCCGCTGAGATGCTGCCATGGAGCCGCCCCCCCCCTGCACAGTCCAGGTCCCCTTTCAGTCAGAAGGCTTTCCGTCCCGGGGGCCGCACGCCCATCTGCACAACCTTCCAGGGGCCAGTGGTGGAGGCGAATGAGTGGCAAACGTCAGGGCTGCCTTTGGTTAGCAGGTGACGCACACTCACCCCTCCTTGAAATGAGAGGCAATTGTCCAAGAGCAAAAGCACTGCCAGAGCCTTTTGAGGGCCAGGCAGTAAGTCATGGAGAC